AATAGCCTATTGTACTATTGTACTTAGTTTCCGCATTCAATGTGTTTCCAAACATGAAGCAAATATCCGTTGAAAAGGTGGCTATGTTAATGGAATTAGGGCAATTTTTCAACTAAACGACTTCAGATGAAATAAAACGGCGAGAGAGACCGCCCTTACCGGCTACACTGTCGGATTTTCTATATACAAAGCGTCTCCGTAGATTTATGGACAAATGGCGTGAAGCTGTTCGATTTTCACAAGTTTACTTATTAACGGCCCAGCGCTATTCTTTAGACGACCTCAATAGCGCGAGAGTTATGTGTCGTCTATTTGAGAGGTCCCAGGTTCGAATCCCGGTGAGGCAAATGTTAGTATGATAAATACGAGCATTGGTACCTAAGTCATGGATGTTTAAAGTAAGGTCAACGAGAAGCGATACAAAATGTAAACATCGTATTTTTTAAATCTAAAGAAAAGATTACTAGAAAAAAATCCACGCGGACCAGGCAGCGGACGGGACCCGAACCCGCACCTAGTAGTAAACTTTTCATTAGATTTAAACATCTAGCAGTTAAATGCTTAAAAATAAATAAAAACATATCGTATTTTTTTTTAATAAAATTTTATTTATGAAAATTAACATAGGTATTTTATCAATTTAATAGGCATATATTTCAATGAAATGTAGCAAACTGTGTTATTATAAATTTAATATTCTAAAAAGCTAAAATGAATATACGAGTAATTGGTCAGTGCATTCGCCCGGATAGCGAAGGGTACGGGTTCGAGTCCCGTCTGCTGCCTGGTCCGCGTGGATTTTTTTCTAGTAGTATTTTCTTTAGACTTAAATATGTAGCAGTTTAATGCTTGAAAAATTCAAATTATAAGCTAAAATTAGTTAAATCCGTTAAAAATAAGGACAACAATGTGACATTTTTCAATTCGAGCTGGTTATCCATTGGCCCTACCACTCTTAGAAAAGGTTAGATAGACGATATTGAACAGGATTAAGTCTTAAATTGAATTAAGAATGTAAGTGCAAGTGGCCCTAAAACTGTGTGAATTCTATGAAAATAAATCACTTTTTAAATCGTCGTTCCGGTCCTAATAAATGTAAGGGACGCGGATAAGGGCTACTAATTGAATGCCGTCTCTTTGAGCGTTGTAACGGCCGGTGTACACGGTTACGGCGGCCTTTCATCTTTGACGACAGCAAGCCGCCGCTGGGCACTCGCCGAGCCGTGACGACGGTAATCCAATATACTTAGTAGCTCGAAATTGCGTTGTGTTTTCACCCTAACGGCATTTCCGGTAAAGTAATACTTTAAGCTTTGATCATATATAAGCCTAGAAAGAACAATCCAAATAAATGACGCAGAGAAAACGGCTCATGTAACGCGCAATGTGTGCGTGACACTAACATGTAGTAGATATCTTTTATCCCCCTCTGTGCAGATAATACTGTGTCTAGGGTGTATAACCAAAGACTTTAAGTATGCAATTAAGTGTTACGAATAAATAAATAAATATTTCCAACACACACCAATTAGCCTAGCCCCAAAGTAAGCACTATAAGGCTTGTGTTATGGGATACTAGGGTAACGGATAGAATACATATATACGCATATTTATATAGAAATACATATAAAACATCCATAACGGGAGTGCAAATGCTCGTATTCATCACACAAACATCTGCCCCCACCGGGATTCGAACCCGGGACCTCTCGAGTCAGCGACCCCATGAAACCCGGCGTACAAACCACACGGCCACGGAGGTCGTCACATAACATATAATTATGATTTTATTTTACAGAATTTAAATCTAATTTCACAGATCCTTAACCTAATGCAAAAGACAGACACAGAGTGACATTATGGGTGAGTGTGTCGCTATCTTTATATGAAAATGCTAAAAAGATCTGTCATACATTTTTTTGTAGAAATCTATAATTTACTAAGTAACAAACACACAGAATTATACATGCGAATTAATCCCACCCTCGTTTTTAAAGTTCGATATTAAAGGAGTCCCTTCTTTTTTAAATCAGTGTATTAGTTATTTTTTTTTATTGTGATCGAAATAAGATATTAGGACAAAAAAAATACTTGAAAAAAACCCCAGTCGGTCCAGACATCAGGCTAAATCTAGTTACGAGAAATGCTTAATATAGTAAACTTATTGGGACAGATTTATAATCGCTTGATTACGAATGTGAGTTGGGTTGAAAGGGGTACAATTGGAAAAATTCAAAAGGTTTTTATGACTTGCGTGGATAAATTTTCTGAATAATATCTCTGTAAATGCTATAACGATATTTGTTTACCACCCATCCATATATCACCACGACTAAAATAATTTACTCCATGCTAGGAATTCATTGAAAATGGTAAATAAAAAATCATTATTCCGACGTGACGTATTCCTGCAAAGGATGCGAAACGTCAATAAACAAATAAAATCAGTACATCTATCCTAATGAAACTTTTTATTTAATGAGTCATGTGCGTGAAAACCTAAGAAACAAATATTGCGTGGATTTTTTTAAGTATAATTTTCCTTCTTCAATTCGAGTACGTGCTTATTTAAAATTAAGCACATACGGGCCGGCTGCGTTCAAGAATAGGGTGAGATACCATTTTTAGTAAAAATTGTCAAAGATCATTGAAACGTTAAAGAGATGGAGTTTTGCTCTATTGAACATGTATAATGTTTTCAAGTTAGCATACCGCTGGACGATGTGACGAACAGTGCCGTCATTGACCTATTGGAGGCCCTGGGCATATTAGGATAATGGGGCCCCTATGACTTAAGTTTGGTGATTTAACAGGAACTAGGGACTTTGTATTTGATCTGAGGGGGCCCCCTATCAATCGCAGGGCCCTGGGCACTTGCCCAAAGTGCCCACTGGGAAAGACGGGTCTGGTGACGAGGAACTATCAACGCTACATTTGGAAATGCAAACAGATATTGAAAACGCCTTAAAAACACAGTAATACAAGCGACAGGCATTCGTTCTGTAAGTAAATTCTGTCTTAGTGTTGTCTGCTGTAAGTACGTCATATTTTCCGACTGCAAGCATGTCAAGCTACATGACAACGGCCTCTTGAATTGCGGTGAAATGTGTACTCGCTTGGTTAGGGCACAAAAGTGCCTATCCCAGATTGCACTACCTTGTATTGTTCCAGTACCTAAATTGCAAAGTTTCTATGTTTGTCTGCGTTAAACCGGTTCAAGAGCGTATAAAGATAATTTCATAGTTATTTTATGCATTCACATATTTCACGTTTCCAAGGGTCAAAAGATAAAAAATAACTTAAAATTGCCCATAAAGTAGATGAAAGCTAAAGGACATGGTAAAGTTTTGTATGAGCGACTGCCCTGGCAATGTATAAATACTGTACATAGTAATATTTAATGGTAAATGGCTGAATATTTATAATTTCTATGAAAAAAGACTCAGGAACTTTTGATAAAGTCACAATCTTGAAAATTATGAGAACTCCTACTATGTCATTACCTTACTACAGTTGATAAAAGATATTGCTCATCATTTACTGAGTCATCAATTTCGCATTTTCTTAGAATCTTTTTTCCCATTTCTCTGATTAACTCTTCACAAAAAGTTATTTTAAAGCAAAAATAAATACAAATAATTTGTTATAGTCGGCCTGACAGGATGTCTGTGAAGTTTTATTTCATTTATTTTGTATAACGGAACATTTTGCTTTTGAAACAGTCATGAAGTCAATTTTTATACTTTTAAATATTTGATTATTTCACGAATGTTGTATGAGAATAATAAACACGTAATAATAAATAAAAAAACATTGTAAAGTTACAGGCTAGTGCGAAATATTTATACACGTTAAAGGCAGTTTCTTAGCCATGCCCTTTGGTATGTCTTCAACTTGCCTTGCCTTCAACCTGTAAATCACACAGTATACTTCCGGGGATTAAACGCCATGTTAATCACAAACATCATGGACACACAGTTTGTTCTTCTTGCATTAGTTGTAATAGGGATGCTAACCTCCTTTTTTTCTTCCCGTATTAGGTAGATTATCAAAATTCAAAGTAAAAAAAATCAAAGTTTTGGACACTTATTTTATCTTTTTTCTCATAATCAAAACATAACAGCGATAATTGATTTGTAATGTCGCATGACGTCACGTCTAAGTAAAGTTTTTACTTAGAAGTGACGAGTTCGCAATTTTGACAATTTTGTTGGTTGATTGGGAAAGGAAAAATAGGTGTCCCGTATTTTTGAAGTTATACTTCTTTAGGCGCGTTATGGAAATTGATGAGAGTGAAATTTTAAGATGCGCGCGCATCACTGTAACACAAAATTTTAACAGCATGAAGTTGGTCGCTTTAGCCACCGACCAACTTCATGCGTTGCTTTTGTGTTTACCGCACATTAAGAAAATCTACCAACAAAATAGCGATAGAATCTCTATTTAGTGGGTGCTGACGACTGCATTGTGAAGGCCTATCAAAAGTATTTATTAATCTGGAACAACGGAACCAAAGCGCGATTCAGGAGACTACAGCGCCATCTCTTGACCATTGGTGTAGTAGAACCAAAAACCACATCTTTATTTTTTGTAATAAAGTAACAGTTATAGGTATTATTATATTTATAATATTTATCCACATGTTTCTAGTTTGTATATTCGGAATACGTGTTTGAGTTTCATAGAAGTGCAAATCACATATGTTCTAATAAATTATATTCAGTAGCGATTTTAATTGAATATTTATTTATTTTTTCAAATTAAAACTGAACTTTATTGACTGTGTCCTTTTCCAGACTTTTTATTAATTTATTGTAATTAATTATTTGCATGCAATTAAAAACTAATTTTAAACGATGCCAAAGAAGGATAACTTCTCACGCGCCTACATAAGTACACGCACCCATTTTTTTTTCTAATGTAACTGATGGACGAAGTTTATACTTTACCCTGTGATCATCCGTCATAATATGAAAACAAGAATAAAATGAAAAACTTACACATGCTCATCTTTAGCGCTCGGCACGAAGAACTTGCACTCTCTCTTCTGAAAACTGCATTCTATCCAACTGCGAGTAGTTTTCTGAAACAATAAAAAAAATCCATTGAGTATTTCGCTTGTAGTTATGTACACTGGCAGTCTCTAGTTCATCAAATGAAAACTTAAAAAAACAACTCTTTACAATGAATTCTTAGCATGGAGAAAATTATTTTCGCCGTTGTGTTAAATTAATGGTAAGACTTTAAAACGAAAATTGTAGCATTAACATATATATTAATAATGAGAAAATTTTGCTCGAAAAAAATCCATTCTGACCAGACAACAGACGGGACTCAACCCGCACCCTTTTCTTTTCGGGCGAATCCACTAACCATTATGCTAGCGCGGCCCTGATGGCCGTGTCGAATTTTCTCTAGAGCTTCTTAAGCTGCAAGGCAGCGCCATCTCTTCGCATTCAAATGAATACCTTTACAAATATTAAAAATTTGAAAGAAGAAATGAAAAAAACCTTGTAGTGAATTCGGCAATGGTGCATTCGCCCGGATAGCGAAGGGTGCGGGTTCGAGTCCCGTCTGCTGCCTGGTCCGCGTGGAATTTTTTCCAGTGAAATTTTCTTTAGATTTAAACATCTAGTTATTACATACTATTATTATAAAAAATATGTGGCTTTATGAAACCACGAGGCAAGTGGAATTTTAAAATCATTAATAAATATAAGTTAACTTTGCCTGGGAATCGCACCCGGGCCGCCCGCATGCAGACTAGCTTTACTGAACCACGCCTGATGCTTGTCAACGTTTGGATTTTTTTAATTACAATTGAAAATGTAATGAGAAGCGCTGAAGATAAACGAAAAAAATGTGCATATGTTGTAAAAGTTTCACTTTTAAATACGAATGTAATTCTGTTTTTCCCTTTGATATGTACCCTTAGGCGCTGCTGTTCAAGTTTCTATACAAAATCCTACAACGACATTTCGTACTCAGTACATTAAAGTACCCCTAGCATGATCCATTATCGAATTCGAATAGTTTGCAAGTGCTAGATGTCAATGTCAAATTTTGTATCGAACTTGAACAGCAGCGCCACAAAGGACGTAACGAGAACTAAAAATCAATACGCATTTGACAATGACATTTCGTACTCGCAAACGTTAGGAATCGATATTGGTTCGTGCTAAGGGCACTGATTGCAACCCAAACCGCAGGACTTATTATGATTAATGTTGGGTTAAAGTCCATTGGAGAGACATTGTATACTTTTTGTCCCGGAAACTAAACTCAATGGGGTGAAAAAAGGGTGAAAAGTTAAGATGAGGGAGCAATTCTGTATTCACCAACAGACCCATAGTTATACCAACTTATCCACTGATATGACTACGGATCAATAAACTGACTGGAGTTTACTATTTCATTTAAATAAGAGGTTACTATTTCATTTAAATTACATATAATTTCTAGAGAGGACTAATCATAGTTCCATCTTCCTTGAGACTAAAAGCCGTCGAGATCTATTTCGCAAAACAAACAAAAGAAAATGAAAATTCTGGTCCTCTAATTCAACGAAAAATGAAATTTAGATCGAAACTTCACACTTTTCTTAATCTGGTTCGTTTTTAATTATAATAATATTCGTCGTCGGAATATAGATTGAGGTGTAGATTTTGCTAAGCCTACTCAAAGAAAGCTTCAAATTGATAGTTTATCGTTCAAATTAAGCATAAACCTTAAATTGACGAAATTAAATTTCGTTTCAACTGCGTTATCGAAAGTTCGTTTTGGAGAAAGAGAGTAGAACCCTGTCCTAACAATATTTTAATTCGTTTAAAATTTAAGATTTCCTTTTTATGATTTCAGATTTTTTTTTTACATCTGCACGCCTCTGAACCTTTACAAAAGTTGCTTAAACTCTCAACCTCCGTTGCGGAGTGGTTGGTACGCCGGGTTTCAAGGTGTCGCCTACCCAAGAGGTCCCGGCTTCGAATCCCGGTGGTGACAGATGTTTGTGTGATGAATACGAGCATTTGTACTTCAGTCTCCATGACTGAAGTACAAAGTTGTTTAATATGTATTTTTATATAAATATACTCATACTCATATATATATACTATCCCTAGTATTTCATAACACAAGCCTACAGTGGTTACTTTGGGGCTAGGCTAATTGGTGTGAGTGTTGGAAATAATTATTTATTTATGTCGCTTAATTATTATTAATCAGATCTTATATACAGACAACTGTGATTCAGCGGTAGAAAGCTCGTCTGTTACGCGGGTGGCCCAACTTCTATTCCCAGCCAAGGAACGTTTGTTTTATTAGTGATTTTAAAAATACCACCACTATCGTCCTTTCGAAGCACAGTAATTTTTTTTTATTCCTTATTTTTTATTTTGCTTTTATCCCAAGCTTCAGAATTCATGAACAAACAAGGTGGAACGGCGGAACGTCACAAGCAAATATTCTTCAGGAAGAAAATAAAAAATCTCATTAAAAATAAAATTAGCTGTTTAAGTTAAAGACATCTCGATTCTACTTTCATTTCCCCTTTACCAAGAAACAAAATTGACGTGTAATTTAACGCTAACGGCATTAGATGCTTCATTTGACTAGGCCTAAAAGAAATAATGAAAAGCTTTATACAGTTTTAGTCTCTATTAGTTTGAGAATAAAGTCTAGATTGCCGGCAGTTCCAGGGTAAGGATATCCTTTAAGCATTAGAATCAAATCATTTTGGAAATCGTGGCAAGAAAAACAAATTTGAGTTGAGCGAAGGGGTTGCCTGAAATAAAATAAAAATAAAAACAAATTGTTGAGGTCCACTCTATGTTTTATATTTAGTTTAGTTTGCTCCATAATATCGTGATTTACCACTAGCAACGCAACATCCAGCAATAAATTTCAATTAAGAAGAGAGCTAACCAAATTGGTAGCGATGTTTCTTCATAAGAAAGTTCTGACAGAAAATCACCGAAGAGCATGAAGTTAGCAACAGTTTACCCGGAATTCTAAACTTAAACATTTTGTTCAATACCGGAGAGAAGGTAATCATTTGGAAGAATAATTAATGCATTATGTATTTTTTTACTAAAAGTCCACAGAACACAGAAAAAGGTCAGAAGGGTGTTCAAAGAGTCTTTGTACGGGAACCGATGTTGCAGGCTCGCCTCTACTACACTTCCACCTAATAGATAATAATAGCCAATCAAACGACGCGATATCAAATAATTGAACCAATCAGCGCTCAGACCCAAGAGCAACGACGCAATTACAAAACCAAGTTTTGGTCACTTTATGAGTATTTACTCAAATATGACTGTGACGCTTGCCCCGCCCACAAGGCCCTTCTAACCTCTTTCTGTGTTCTGTGTAAAATACATTGTCTTATTAATTACTAACCGATTAAAACTTTTACAAATGATCATCTTAGTCAGTAGAAATATCTTAAACATCAATGCCATCAAGAACAAATTATCGTATAATAATCTCTGATTATACTTTTTTATCACTTTATTTATTTGTACCCCGGGTTTAAAGGTATCGCCTATTCAACGGGTTCTAATCCCGGAGAGGCAATATAAAAATGATGTATAAGAGCATTTGTATTTCTTTATAGGTATTTCTAGGTAAAATATTCTTGTCGTGAATTGTTCAGCGGAAGTTAAGCCGGTACCGACTTTTTTTTTATAGCGAGGTAGGCAAATGACTCTACCCCACCTGATGTTAAGTACTGATAAAGCCCAAACGCGGAGATAGCTGGTACAGCAGTTATAAACTGCTACACCAACCATCCTCACCTTGTCGGCCTGCAAAAATGCTTCTTCACGCCTCTCTTAAAGGACCCCAGATTTTAGGAAGGAGGGAACACGTGCGAGGGTAAAGAATTCCACTTACGAATATTACGACAAAGAATTGAGTCACCAAATTTCATTGTTGGTGTAGGAATAGTGGCCACAGTAAGTCGGTGGCAACGTAGGCCAGTGCGCGTGGTCCTCTGAAGAAAAGGTGATGGAGGGATAAGGGAGAATAACTCCTCAGAACACTCGCCGTGGTATAGTCGGTAGAATGCGCAATTTTAAAACTTGGGTATATTAGGCGAATGAGTTGGCAACGATAGTTACTTATCAATGTCATCTGATGTCTGGCATGTGTCACGGTAAGTGTATAAAAACGAGTGAATGATGAGAGTGAAAACAACTATTTTAGTACGCTCAATAGCCGGCCAAGGAAAGTCGGGGCGGAGACTACTTGTGCCTTTAATATAATAATTATAAAAAAATTATTATTTATTTTTATAAAAAAAAATATATAATAATAAATAAATATTTTCAACACTCACACCAATTAGCCTAGCCCCAAAGTAAGCACTATAAGGCTTGTGTTATGGGATACTAGGGTAACGGATAGAATACATATACTGTACATAATAATAAGTATATGTTTATAGAAATACATAATTAAACATCCATGACTGGACTACAAATGCTCGTATTCATCACACAAACATCTGCCCCCACCGGGATTCGTACCCGGGAAATGAAACCCGGCGTACAAACTCCAGCCAAGGAGGCCGTCTATATATTATACGTCATGGATACTGATATTATAAAGAAAGAAAGAAAACATTTATTGGTAACACAGCATACATTAAAAACAAAACAGAATAGAAAACATAACGACACAGAAAAAATAGAAATAAAAACAAAAAAACTAAAGAAAATATAACTAGAAAAAAATCCACGCGGATCAGGCAGCAGACGGGACTGCGCCCTTCGCTATCCGGGCAAATGCACATGTTTAATACTTGGGGGTAGCGGGTAGTGGGTTACCTACAATGCAAGGAGATGGCGCTGCCTTGCAGCTCAAGAATGGCTGGAGGAAGTTCGACGTGGCCATCAGGGCCGCGGTAGCATAATTGATCAGTGCATTCGCCCGGAACGGGAAGGGTACGGGTTCGAGTCCCGTTTGCTGCCTGGTCCATGTGGAATTTTTTCTAGTTATATTTTCTTTAGATTTAAACATCTAGCAGTTAAATGCTTAAAAATAAAATATAAATAATAAAATATACGAAACGTCAATAAATAA